AACCCAAAAGGAGCCGAAAGCATCGGCGGGACTGGAGGTGGTGGGAGGTCCCCTGGAACGCCCCCGGAGCGCTCGGTTTACCTGTGTTCTCGCCAGGTTCCTGGGCGTCATGCCCGCCTACAGCGCCGCGGACGACGCGCTCACCACCAAGCTCGTGACCTTCTACGAGCACCAGCAGGACCCTTCCGTGCCCTCGCACCAGGCGACCGTGCTGCTCTTCGACCCGCGGAGCGGCGCGCTGAAAGCCGTGAGTGCGGGGCCGCCGCCGCCTCTGCCCGGGCGCTGCGGCCGCTGCGCGGGGCCCGCTTGGCCGCTCTATCGTTTAGCCTAAAGCCCCGCAGTCTTTCCTGCGTGGTCAGGTGCCCTCTGATGTTTTCTACAACTTGTGGCTCTGTTGGCTCAGAGGGTGGATGGAAGAGAAGAAAAAAACCAGAAGAAGTTTGTGCTGTGTTGGAAAGGGTGGGGAAGCCTTGGCAGACAGGGAGCCGGTCCTGCAGCTTTAAGTCTGCTTTAAGTCGATTGGCCCTATAGGACATAGTATTTAGTATCATAGTACTTAAGGTGTGTCTCTGTTGCTGATGCCTTTCATTTGTTTCTTAATTTATTTTAGAATTTGTGACTATTAACTATTTTCCATTGTATTTTTATAGCCATGACTGTTAAAGGCCTGAAATGGGGAAGGAAAAATACATTGGGTTTTTATTCCTGTACTGTATCAGTGGTAAAAAGTCTCTTAAGCCACGTAATTCACGCTCTGCATGTCCGTTTATATAGAGTGAGGCATTCCCATTCCACATAAAGGAATTCTGTTCTGTTCCTTCTCATCTCTGCAGTTCCTTGTCCTATCTGCTGTGATAACTGCTGTAGTGGCAGTTACTGATATCCATAATTCTGTATGTGCCTCCTAGTAACAATAAATTCACATGATTCATAAATCAGAAAAATCATTAGAGTTTAGACATGTCTTCAGTGTTCATTATGTATTTTTCTTTTTTTAAGATTCTAGATGGCAGTGTCATTACAGCAAAACGAACAGCTGCGGTTTCTGCAATAGCTACCAAGGTATGTCTTCTATGTGCTAAGGTAGGATAGAATTGGTAGGGGGTGTGTGTGTATGCATATATGTAAAAACACACATATATAAAATAGCTAGAGAGAACAATATAAACAACTTTCAGTCCATGTGAATCTTTTTCAACTCTAGCTTTAAATTACAATTATGATAATATATGTACCTTCGGGTAAAACTTAAGACAAAAATGCAGTTTAAATCATGCTTTTAATTTATTTATTGTATATATTTTTGTAATGCATGAAGATACTTGAGTTATATCTCTGTTTCATTTCCCAAAGTCTTCTGGGAATTCACTGAAGTGTTTTCCTGTGATTTCTGTGTTTTTTCTTAGCATGTTTATAACATTGGGCACTATAGGTGCAGCGATAAAATCAGTTTTGTTTAGATGTATGTTTTTTCTTCTCTAGTTAAGGTAGGTGGGATTAATTGGCAAAAGATTAAAAAGGCCTCTTCCAGGTGCCAATACAGGCAGTCTTAAGATGGGCTGATGACTTTCTCAGAGGTGCCCGTCTGTCTATCTCTGCTCTTGCTGAAGGATTTCCCAGTGAGTAACCCTGACTACAACCCTAAACTGAAGTGCCTGAGGGACAAGTGCAGCAAATCTTGCTGTCGGTTGCTTTGTATTATTTCAGTCTTTGTGGAAATTGTTGCTTTCAGATTGTTCTTTAAAACAATTTTTGGCTGAGCTTCTAATAGCAACTTGTTTTCTTCCGACTATCTATTACATAGCAAAGTCTTAGTCTTCACCTCAAAGAATGGTGGGGGAAAAACAAAAGTATTTTTCAGTCCTAGTCCATTTATTTTCTTCATCGGCTTTGCTTCAGACTGAAGGTTGACCTCTCTACTTCATTATTAGCAGTCTTCAGGCCATATAACTCTTTCCAAGGCAATAGAGCTGAGTTGACCTAAAATTGGAGTGAAGAACCTGTTCCAAGAGCTTCCCCTGGTACCAGGGACAAACAAAATCACAATGGATTCCACAGATATTAGGTTATAGGACTTGATTCAACCCAACCATTCTATACTTGGCCTATTTTGACATTCAAAGGAGTTTGGCTGGTGAAGGGACTTCAAGATCAGGTCCTTAATTGTTGTCTGCTGTTTTGGGAAACTTTCAGAAGTGTTTGAGTTTAGCTCCTAGTTTCATTTTGTTCCCTTTATGCCACTTGCTTTTCAAAAATCCAATGCTTTTATGCAGGAAACCTTTGAAATCAGTGCATCAATGTCTCTGAAAGGAATGTTAAAAAGAGTTCTTGCTACTGAAAAATATGATCAATTAGTTTTTTTCTTATTTTCTTACAGCAGAATAAGAGTTGAGAGCCTGCACTGCTCAAAAGCTTTTTATGCAGAAGTGAGTGACCACAACAAATGCATAAACAAGACCCAAGGATAGCTTGGGGCTGGACTCCAGCAGCGCTCTCTCCCTCTTGCCAAGTACTGATGAATTGCAGGCAAGAATTAAACCAGAAAATGAAAAGCAACCGCAGGACTGAATCTTAAAATTTGCTTCAGAACCACCCATATTTTTAACAGTACCTGGTACAAATATAGCCTAATTTAAAGAAAAAAAAAGTCTGTTGCATCTAGAGATGTGATATGTTGGGATGCAGGCTTAGTATATGTGTATATAAGCTTAGCTCCTAGCTGCCAGCCAAGGAGTGATCTGCCTCTCAGCGGCTCCAGTCCAGCCACAGTGTCCCCCTCAGTCCCTGCAGGTAGTGTTGATCTGTGGGAAACGTCCTCACGAAAAGACAGTGCAAGACAATAGAGGAAGATGAGTCCGTTGTACTTAGATGGACATTGGTTATACAGTGCACAATTCGCCAGAAAAACAGTCTTTCTCAGCCCTGATGTTTAGGAACAATTTTAATTCCCCTCCCTGCCTGTCTTTTCCATATCAAAAGCAGATTAAAATTAATTTTTGGATATTTTGACAAATGGAATTGGAAATAAGCTGCAGTGCCAATCGAGGCATTTTCCTCATAGGAAGTCAGTGATTGCGGTAAAAGACATTAAGCGATCCAGTCTATTTTCTGTGCAGTATTAAGATGTTCAAGAAGCTCCAAATAAAATCCCTTTTCTACAGCATTATCAGCTTTAACAGAGCATTAATGACTGCATAAGGATTGTCTCTTAAAGTGTCAAATTCTGCATATTTGTGAGTTGCAAAAGAAGGTTTATCTTGGATCTGCCAGGCAGAGCTATCGCTTCTGGTACTTATGGCTTTCAGTGCCGAGTCCTGTTTTCAGCCAGTGCAGAGCATCAACACTGAGATTCTGCGCTTGGTTAGTTCACAGGTGAATGCAGGGCACTAATACTGAGTGACCAGAGGCCCTAGAATTTGAATTTGGAGTATGCTGGTGCATGTTAAAGTCTGAATTTCAAGAGTTGGACAATTGAACACCCAAATTGAGCTTGGTGCTGCTTTGGTGGCATTGATACTGATTTTTGCACAAAATAGTTGTATTATTGAGTGTTGTTTTATATTAGCATGAGTTGATACTAGCTTTTGCCTTTTAAAGGACTAAGGACACATTTCTTTTGTAGTGTTTTGATATGTAAGGCTATGGATATGTTTTATTTACATGCTTGCTATATTTTTATACCTTTTTAGATGTTAATGCCAGCTTCTGCAGAAGTGCTGTGCATTTTGGGAGCTGGTGTTCAAGCACATAGCCATTATGAGATCTTCACAGAGCTGTTCACATTCAAGGAGGTAAGGGACACATCTTAACAGAATGCCTTTTTCTCCATTATATTCCAAGAACACTTAATATAGATAAAACATACCTATGTCAAAGTTTTGGTTAAAGGATTAAACATATTTTGATTATGTTTCTAGAGAACTCAATATTCTGAACATCTGTAGATTTTTTTCCTCTGCAACTTTATTTTTTGAAAGCTGGAAGCAGTCAAGTATCAGATGTCTTCCTCTTTGTGTGAGGAAAGTCTGCTATGCATGTCCATATTTGGATGAGCTTTATTTGACTTTCTCTTAAATACATCTTAAATAATTAAATTTTATAAATACAGCTTCATGAGAAGCTGTTATCCTGGCATTGCAGAGAAGCATTTGACTATAGCTGCCCATGCAGTAACTTTAGTCATTTGGTAACATTAAAAGAAAAATAACCTTTTAGGGTAGATGTAATCATCTGCTGAAAACGGAAAGTCTGTTCTGTGTCAGTGAGGAGAATTTTTTAGGTTGTGATGTTTGCCCTTTCTCTTGAAGGTCAGAATATGGAATCGCACCAGGGAGAATGCAGTGAAGTTTGCCCATTTGGTTAATGGGCCAGTGCAGGTCTGCTCCTCTGCCCAGGAGGCAGTTACTGGGGCTGATGTCATCATCACAGTCACCATGGCAACAACACCAATTTTATTTGGGAAGTGGGTAAAACCAGGTGCCCACATCAATGGTATGCTATATTCTCATCATGTAAAGGACCCGTTTTTACTGTTTAGCATAAAAAAAACTGAACAGTACTGTTTCTCAAAATAAGTACTTATTTCATTTTGATTACTTCCCTCTACTAAGGACATATTTTTCTAGCTCCATCCTCTTAGTACGTGGAGCCACAAGTCCTACATATTCCAGCACTGTATGTTTTCTAAAGCGTGAGATACACTCACCATTGTGTGTCCACTTGAGGCTCACTTTGCCCTCCTCTTAAATAACATTCTCAAAGTGTCTCTAGCTCATGCTATTCTTTCTTTTGTAACTCTCATCTTTTCTTGACCCATTTAAGATCCTTTATTTGTTCCTTTGGGACAGAATCCTATTGATTTTTTTTTGTTGTTGTTCAGTTTCTGTGCCTTCTTAATTCAAGCAAGAACCTCACAATTTGACCTTTAATTATTGTGAGGTTTTGGGGCTCCTCTCTCCTTTTTTCTGCCTGATAATGATGTTGTTGCACTATTGTACAGAGTCCCTGGACCTGCTGCCATGTGTTTATTTTAATAATTTTGGGCCTGGTTCAGATGACCTTGTACACTTTCCAAATGGCTTGGTAACAAAACAAAAGTGGCTTGTCAAAGGCAACAATTTAAAGGAAGTTTCCACATTCCAGCAGCATCCTACCAATTTTTCAGACTCAATTTAGTCCTTTGTCATTTAATGTTGTTGTCTGTGTTATGTCAGGACATGGAAGCCAGAAATACAACCAAAATTAATTAAGGTTTACAGTCACTGAGGCAACACGTACACAAAGACCCCTCTCCTTTCTTGCTGTTGTGTAAAAGTTTGGCTTAGTGAAAACCTGTAATGAGTTCCACTTCTAAAGCATGTCATAAATAGCGCAAGTGGAATGTGAAGTGTTCAACACCTTACAGAAGCAGGCAAAGTTTGGAGCAATCCATTTTTTCCCTCTTGTTCAGACACATCATGGTTTACTTTTTCCTTATTGCCTCCTGTCTCCTATGCCAATGTCAGGTTGTTTGAAGGTTAAAAGTTCCCAGTAGTCTCCTTTGTTACTTCATGTGTCTTTTGGGCAAAGCATGGTTTGAATTTGTTTCAGCATTCCTCCCAGATGCATTAATTTTATTGTCTTAGCTGTTGGAGCAAGCAGACCAGACTGGAGAGAACTGGATGATGAACTGATGAAGAACTGTGTTCTCTTTGTGGATTCCAGAGAAGCTGCTGTGACTGAATCAGGAGATGTTATATTATCAGGGGTAAGAGTAGGGGTGGTGTTTTTTTATGGCTTTTTTATGGTGATGGGATTGTTTGTAATGAGCTATTTTTGATGGTGTACTGCACTGAAACCATTTAGAGCATCATTTGTAAATGTTAAGTCTTCTCAAACATATTTTAGCCTTTCCAAAAGGCTGAAATATGAGTGATTTTTTTACCATGGGCCTTCTGTCATTCTAGATTCTTGGCAATTCTTTCAGCCATTGCATAATGCCATGTCACACTAGCATGTCTTCAGCTTTAGCCTCTATTTACAGTAACAAGTATTATTTTGAAAGATCTGTGAATCTGGAATGTTTTCTAATTGTTTGCATTTTTCCCAAATCTGTTAACCTGTCACTTTTACTCATAAGATTTGAATGTGATTGTGTACCAGGCCTCTAGAAAATGGAGGATAGTGGTCAAGTAGACAGTGATCTGCAAAAATCTGGCGCAGGAAATATCTTATTTTTTTTTGATTGTGCAGAATAAGTAGTAATTTGGGGGGTTTAACAAGAGGTCCATATTTTGTAAAGTGTGTGTAACTGCTGGATAACTAACAGGCTATCAAATTTTTAAAAAGCTTTTCTTTTTGAGAATTATTGTGATCCAGTTTCTGTATTTATCTGAATGTTCACCTCTTTCACCATGGGATCCATTAAATGATTAAAGAACTGGAAAAGTTATTTGTTTGAACTTTTTTCCTTAGTTACTTTTTTCTCTATGTATGGATTAATATTTTGTTTTACTTGTTCACAGGCAGAGATTTTTGCTGAACTGGGAGAGGTACTGAAGGGTACAAAACCGGCACTGCCTGAGAAAACAACAGTGTTTAAATCACTGGGTAAGAACAACCCTCCTGCATGCAAGTCTGACAGAAAACAATGCCTTGTTATTTATTAGGTCCCCCATGCGTGGGAAAGCTGCTGATCATCTTCAAAACTGCTGCGGCAACGCACTCTTCAGAAGGAGCTAGAATGTGATTTGCATTTTCCCTTTTTATTTCTCAATCTAGTGGGACTGATCTAATGAAAAGTGATAGGAAAGCCAAGAAACAATAGGAAAAGTGTTTTTCATTTGAGCATTATTCAACACATAACTGCAGTGGTGTATTTTGTAAACATAACACCAATATGAAAGCCCTGCTGTAATGAAGTCTGTCTGCCCTAAAGACAATGGGATGGCATGAAGTGGTGCTGGACCCCATGTTGTCGGAGGTAGGAGGAAAGAAGGAGCAATGATGGTTTTCCATGCTCTGAGCTCAATGATGTGTCCTAAAAGGCCAAGTCAGAGTGTGAATACTGAAAGCTAGGTTCATACACTAATGTTGACTTAATAGAGGACATATGACAGGTACATCATGGCTCTAAAATTAGAACATAACACTGTAGGTGTTGGAGGTGAAAGATATCTGTCTAGTTAGATAATTCCCTGGATTGTTTTCTTTTGAATCTGTATTTCATACACCCAAGGAACAGTCTGAAGGTGACTTTATTTCTATTTCAGGGATGGCAATTGAAGATACAGTAGCAGCAAAATTTGTTTATGATTCATGGTCAGCTGGTAACTAGAGAGGAGTCAGCAGTGCCAACAAGACCACAGAATACCAAGAAAATGGTTTGCACTTAGTTTCCTCTGATTAATGATAAAACTGGCAATCCTATCTGAATGTCGTCCCTCTGGAACTCTAGAACTTTCAACAATGAAGTGTAGAAATTTCAAAAATGAAATGTAAAACTCCAGCTGTAGAGCTTTTCTACTATTCTCCAATGACAAGTATTACTAACAAGTATTGTATGTGTTTCGATACCATTCTGAAATCAACACCTCCCTAACTATAACTGAAACAGAAAACTGTGTAGGTTTTATGTTTGTAGAGAAGTTATTCATGTTGGAGTAAAATGCATTGCTTTGGAGACTAGAGTTTGAGCTCAATGTGATGTTACCTGAGAGAGTACTTTTAAAGAAAACTATGGTGCCATTGTTACATGGACAGTGATTTAGTCTGCAAGTTCTCTTGGGAAAACAGCCCACCCTGGGCTCCTGGAGACCCCTCAGACTTAGATCTGGGAGTCATTGGCTTTACTTCCACCCCCACATTCCCATTGCTCTGCCCTCAGACCCTATAATCCTTAATTTGAGAGCATGCTCCTGAGTGGGACTTTGTATGGAGACATCCTTATTTGTACAAATCAGATTTGTCTTGTATACCCATTTTCATAAAGCGCTTGAGTCAGGTTTAATTAATAAAAAAAAAAAAAATCAGCACTAATACTGTATTTGCATGTGTGTGTCATCTGGGGGAGAAAACTCTATTCAATACTTTAATATATCTGTGGATGGAGTATTGCCATTTTCTTGTTTTAGGTAGCCACCCAAAGTGTGAATACTAAGTGTGTTTTGTTTTATCTTTTGTGTATATCCTGTAGCGAGATTTTGTTATTAATCTATGGTGTTTGTAAGTTCTAAGTTTTTTAAGGTTGGACCATGTACTGACTGACAACAGGAACGTTAAGCCTAAAGTATACAAGCAAATATTTTTATCTTGGCAGATGGCAATTATATTTCTATCTTGATGGGTGTTGCTGGGGCAGGATTCCCTGTGATCCTTTCTTGGCAGAGGAAGCTGGTCATGTCCTGCATAAGGAAAAGCTCCATTTTCATGCCGTTATATAAACTGCTTTACAGAAGAGTGAGCATCTGCTGAAAAATAGCCATTGTCCTTGGATGCATTCCTGTCTCAGGCTAGATTTGTGCCTTTTGAAACTTGATGCCTACATATTGTTTCATGTTGGCTGTTAAATATCACTTCACTTTGTAAAAGGATTACGTTACACAGTCATTTTATAATGATGCCAATAGAGTACAGCAGAGCAACAGGCAGAAGGTTCAGAAGCAGATAGTGTTAAAACCCTTGATGGTGCATAAGTAAGTACAGAAAAGGTTAATGAGTACAGTGCATGTGTGACATAATACTCCAAATTATAAGCCTGGTGTAAACTAGTTGAAAAAGTGTAGTAAATGACAGAGTTTGTAATTTGCACAGTTTTAGCATGGAAGTATACTACATCCATAAGTGAGTAGAGGCAAAGGATGTGGATATAGATTGTGAGCAACTCCATCAGTCTTCTTGGTATCAAGAACAGAGGTTGCTCTACCAGCTTCTGCATTTTTTTGTAACAGAATTACCCTTCAATTTTAACATGCCTTTTTCCTGTGTCATTTGTGAAATGATCAGTAGTGTGCACTTGATCTATCCTGGCACTTCAGTGACAGGGAATTCCACTAGCATGCAATGAATGGGACAAAACAAATGATTCCAACATTAAAGAGCTGTATGGCAACTTTCACTTTTACAACTTTATCACAGTTCTGTGCCTGTGTGAAACCAGATTTGCGATTTGTACACATAGCACCTAAGATACATCATTTTTTTTCACCTGCAGACTAGGGACTTTGCTAAGGGCCAGTTCAAAGACCTGGTTCTGAGAACATACCATGTTCTTGCTCCTCCTTGCAGCAGGAGGCTCTAGGCACTTGGCTTCAGCATCTAGCCTCTGAATGGCTGGAATCCGTAAAAAGGACTGGATTCATTTACAGTGGGAGATGCTTTGATATTGTCTTTCCATTTCTTTAGAAATTGTTGCCTTGGCTCTGTGATTCCTTCTCTTATACTTTTTCAGAAGACTGTCTTTAATTTGTAACTTACATGCAAGTTAAAATTAAATAGATACCACTGCTTTTCTGTCTTTCATTTTTTTGTGGTCTGTTCCACTGCTTTGGTCGGGATTGTGGGGTTTGGTGGTAGCTCTTTGTTAGCTCTTGGCAATGAAGAAAAATGTTTCATCTTCAGTTTGTCAATAAAGTACCCCTGCAATTGCAGTGACTTTCTTAATGTGTTTGATGAATATAAAGACAAAAATCTGCATGGCTCTGTTCTGCTGTCGTTGTTACAAGACTCCTATCTGCCATGCGTTTCCTTTCGATGCCCATGGCTGTGGTCATGGGGGATCCCAGGGATTTAGATTGGATTGTGATTGTACTTGTCCATACTTGTACATACAGTCCTTACACCTGGAAGACTCTATACAAATGTTACTAACAAGTCACTTATCTCAAAAGGCTTAGTTTTAAAAGGAATGATGGAGATGGTGGAAAAACTGTGGAAAACAACGAAGTGGGCAAGTTGAGCTTCATTTGTTTTCTCCTACCATTGTCCCAACTGGCTTTATAATAATGGCTGCTTTCCAAGACCACACAGCAAGAAAAGGACTAACATAACACTCCAGCATTTTTTTTCTTCACTTAATTTTAGAAGAGTAGTTGGACTGGAATCACTCCAGGTGCCTGGAAGTGTCATGGGAGATGTCCTGGGCCTTCCCATTTAGTCTTAAGCTGCACGTCCAGGAGAGGAAGGGACTCCTCTGGGTTTGTACCCCATCTGCTGCCTCTAGAAAGTTACTGCATGTCCTTAAGGCTGTAATAAAGTCTCCTAATTTTTATTTATTTATTGTGATACCTGAATAATTCCTCAGTCAATACAGCTAACCCTGTAAAGAGCCACTTTTCACTGTAACTTAAACATACTCAGTGTCTTGTCTTGCTCAAGGGTGTCGTTTCTCCCTGTGCCTTCAGGTCTAGTTCCGCTCAGCTTCCATGCCAACAAGCACTTGAGTTTTAAAAGTGTCTCCCTGGAAAATGGTTCTAATCCATCTCTGCCACCAACGAGCCCTGCCTTGTGCTCCACCCCAGCACTGGGGAGTTAGTGCTCAACCTTCAAGGCCTTGAGTCTTATTTCTGCTGCACGGTAGAGTGAGGGATCTACTGCAGCTGGTTTATGCTAAGGGCAGTTGTTTAGTGGGTCCAGCCCTTGGAGAAGGGTTGATGGGTACTGACACAAGCAAACAGAGGGGGCTGGCAGTGCAGGGTCAGTGCCAATCTCCAGCTGAATTGTTCATCTTGCAAAGTAAGGGGCAGTTTGGCTCAGCAGGTACAGCAGGCTGGGGAAATGGTGACTGTAGATACCATTAGGCAAACTGCACTGAGTGTTTTTCAGTTGCATGAGCAAGAATGACAGGATTTGACCCTGCAAAATTAATGTGCTTTTGAATATGTAACATTCACCATTTCCCGCTCGCCTCGTTAAGTGCCTGAGAGCCCCTTCACTAAGGGCAGAGCAAGGCAGCAGGTTGCTAGCACAGGGGCTGCTCTCTGGTTTAATTGCAGGGCTGAGCATGGGAAGGGGAATGTCTGCTGAGCAGCCGAAACGTCGACACGCTGAGGTACAGGAGTACAAGGATAAAAGAATCCAGCATAAAGTCTAGCCAAGAAAAACAGTTACAGGAAACAGATCAAAGCAAAAGAAAGAAAAGAGAAAATCATGAAAAATGGATTATTAACTAGGACTCATCAATGCACGTACTCTTAAGGAAAAATACACAGCTGAATAATGGATCAGGGCTGTAGAGAGAGATTTTTCAAATATGCTTGAAGGCTTTAAAGATTTAAGTCCTGTTAATAAGTAATTGTGTGCTAAAATCTGAGCTCTTAGAACAGGGCTGCTACACAAACGCTGTTGTGTTCGCGTGACTCTGGGTGAGAAATTCCTATGAGATGGTCCCGGCTTCCGCAGGACACAGGCCTGGGCAGCCGAAGGGACCCCAGGAACGAGCGCCTCGCGTGGGCTGTAGCCAGAAGAGGCTCCCCTGGGAGCTAAACGTCCTTTTCTTTCTCCACTTGCTTTCTCTTTGCACGAGCTGCTCCACCTGCACCTCGTTCCACGCAGTTTTCAGGCTGAGACGGGCAATGTGCAACATCGAACACTACATGCCTAGTTTGGGGGACATCATGTGACAAATGCGCCCTAAAGGAAGCCAGCTGAAGCCATAAAAGATCAAATATCTTGATTTTTTTTCATTAAAGATATTACAATCTTGATTCTATTTAGGACATGATGATTTTTGGCAACTTACTGCTACCGTCTTGTCTAATGAGACAAGAGAAAAGAATATACAACTCACACCAAACATCTGATATTTGATACATTACTGACAAGAATGTTAAAGTCAGTGTAAATTAGCTTTATTTATGGTAATTCAGCAGCTAATAGAGTCAACAGACAACAGCCAAAATGCAAATCCAGATTCCATTTCTCCAGTTTCACCAAGAACAGGAAGGGCAATCTAACAGGAACCACCCGAGAAATCCCAAAGCTGCCTTATTGCGGGAATGCCTTGGGATTGTGGCTTTGAAAAGGGAAGGGTTTTGTTAAGGAATGCAGTGTGCCTGGCCTTCACTAGTAACTGAAGTTGTTTGAATAAAAATATATCCCATCCCCATAAGACAGGGAGAGAAAGACTTAAATATTTCTTCTTCTTTTTTTTAACCTTCTTTCTTTTGGCAGAATATGTTTGCTTTTATAGCCTGTGCACTCAGTCATCTATCCAGACAGAAGCATTTTGGCTTAGCTGTCTGGGCTGAAGGACCTGGCAATCTCTTTACCTTTTGCTTTAGCAGACGTCCGAGAGGAACCGTGTGTTATTGTGAAAGAGCAAAAGAGATTGAATCCGGGTGCTGGGTAGTGCCACAGAAATGTTTATTTATAAGCGA